GGGAGCAGGAGAATCAGAATACAATAAAGGGAAGACAAATCAGATCTCTTACAGGACACCTTTTAGGTACTACTACCTAGGCATTCAGCACAAAGACAGTATTCCAGGAATTACAAACCCCCATGTACTCTACACTTTCCTCAGGCACATCCACCTTGTTTCTCACAGGAACTCCCCACGAGATTCACCCTGTAAAGAAGTGAAATTTTACTAACACTCTCTCCTTGGCAGTGCTTCAGGATTTAGTTTGAATGTGGGTACTGTTTCAGCACAAGAGTTGTCCTCAGACTCTTTCAGAGAGATTCCCATTGCTTAGAATTCATCACAAACAGTACATGCTTAGAGCAGCTTCATGTTGTGCCACTTTTGTCTCAGAGGATCCAATCTCAGCATTTCAGACCTTATCCCCAACCACATCTTCATTCACATCATGCAAAAGCCCTGATCTAGCATTTAAGAAAAATAATTCACCACAGTAAGCCCTGAAGATTAATGCTACTCCCTGCAAGAGCCCACTACTTAATTAACTACTGGCTTTGGTGAGCACAAGCTCTGTGCTACCAGGTTACCACACATTCATTAACGAGGAACTCAAGGAGTCCATAGCAGTTGGACATTCCAAATGGTCCCTATTACTTCTTCTCAGTTACAGAAAACACAAGTTTTAAAATATGAGATATGCAGCACCTTGGGTGAGTGAACCCTGCAGGCTGCTGCCAATATGTGGGGCTTTTACCTGGTAAAGGTAATAAAATCCTCCAGAAACCTTCTGCTTGGTGCTGCAGCTGCAATTATAGGATCTAGAAACTTCCCCATCCCCTGTATCATACAGCTCTGAGCAGTTCCAATCCATGTGCTGGCGACTTACCTTTTGCTGGCAGCACTCCCAACTCCCCACTTCCCAGCTCCACTGCACCTGGAATAACGCAAACTATCAGGACAGCACGGAAAGCAGCAGAGGAGGGTGGAATCTCAGTCAGGTGCCTGCAGTCAGATAGAGCTAATGGCAGACCTCCACAACTGGAGTCAGGGCAATCACATGTCATCACACAGGCAGCTCTGTCAGTCCCTGCTCTAGGCCAAGGCTGCAAATCCACCAGCAGTGCCATCAAGGCCACTCTCTGCGCTCAGCTCTTCACTGGAAGCTCACACCAGCCTGCCAAGGCTGGGCCTTATCCAGACAGTTCCCCCTTTAAACATCCTCCTGTTTTGGCTGAGATGGCAAGCAGCAGACAACACCAGCCACTGGCCTCTTCCCCCCAGGTAACAAGAAGGTAAATACTTCACTTCTGAGCATATTTTGGAATATTGATACTTGCAGAGTTAATCAAATACCCACCTTGCAAGGAGAAACATTTTGGAAGCCTGCAGAGAAAAATTTCCTATTAGACAAGGTCCAGCAGGAAGTTTTAGCATAAGAATAGTTCCAATAAAATACTGTATCAGCATTTGGTCAAGTTTTGTCCTCATAGGGATCAGAGACCTGATTCAACATCATCTACAGTAGAGGCCGCCTCACCTCCATCCCCTCCCAGAGGAAAAGTCAGCTCCCAGCAAGCTCCAACACCCCAGTAAGTTTATCCCTCAGCTCCAGAGACAACCAAAATTGCAGGAAGGAGCAAACTTCTGAAGTGCGGAGTTCAGTGACATCAACTTTGTGTAAATACCCCAGCCATGCTAAGCCAGGATAAGCATTTTGGGCACTAAATTCAGAGTACTATGGCATTCACCACTCAGGTTTAACAGGCACTTTCCAGAAATCTTTACCACCACAATTACTTCCTGCTTTATAGTGTAACACAGGAAGCTGAAAGCACACTTTGCTTCACACTTTCCAGAGAAAACACAAGGAATTTGTAGACATCTCCAAAAGCAAACACCCAAGCTCAAATGCAGCAGACAAAAGTCCAATAAACCCTAAAAATGGTTTATTAATTACCTGCAATTAGGAAGGCCTTGGCTTCACCAACATCAGTAACAGATGAAATAGCTTCTCACACAAGAGGCACAGGTCTCCTCTGTCCAGGGCAATCTGTAAAGCAACAAAACCCTTTCAGAAGTTGGAGCACTAACACCTGATTAACCTTATTCTGCTGTACTTGTGTTTAATTTACAAGCACAGCCTACTCTATACCCTTCTATTCATCCCACTAAACTTTATGTTTATCCCATTCGCTGATTTTCTGGGATCAATTTTCAGAACTGATCAAAAGGAAGTGTTTCCCTCTCAGCTTTCCACATGATTTGTCTGGAACAGCCTAAGGACAGGAGGCTGCATCAGACAGGAGCGAAAGACAGTGACAGTGTGATCATCACGGCTCATCTGCTGAACTATGCTGTCATCACAGCAGCCCCTCACACAGCAGGGACACAAATGAGTTTGGACAGACATAGGCAATGCAATGTTTACCTTGCACAGGTTAGAGCTTCATCTCCCAGTGCCTGCAACAAATGAAAAAAAAAAAAAGACGTTATTTCAGCCTTGGTGTCCAAGCCCAGAGCTCCTGATGAGATCACAAAAGGCAGACACATCAGATAGGAGCGAAAGACAGAAGTGTTCACCACAGGATGCTCTGCTGAACTATGCCATCATCACTGTATCTGCTTTGGAATCATCCTACCAAGCAATCACCTCTTGTCACAGCTTTTACAATTAAGTTTTTCCAATAAAACAAAGAAACATTCACAAATTTGAATACTAGCAAGTATAAATTGCTTCTGGTCGTAGTGGAAACTAATTTTAAAGCACATCCCATCCTTCCCGCTGCAGTGTTTTAACAACCCCATGGAAGAAACCCTACCATAAAGCACACATTTCTCACCAGGTGATGTTCCTTCTGCATGTCTGCTGAGTGCAGGAGTCAAATCCTGGAGGAAAAAAAAAACTTGTGAATAGGATATTCAGTACTCAAAGCATTGAGGGGAACTCTAAGTTGCTGTGCCTCAGAAAACTGTAATGGTGGTAAAAGTGCTCATCACTCTCTTGGTCAAGAGTAGCAAATAAGTGTCATCATTGTGGCACCAGAGGGAAAACCTGGCTCAGGGAATTGTCTGACCACTGACGTATGTTATCAGAGCAAAAGACACTGCCCAGACAAACCCTAAGCATAATTTGATGCTGAGTTTCCATTAATTATGTATTACCTTGTGAAGTGGCATCAAGGCTGTGCATTTGGTGGCAGATCTGGAAGAGAAAGAACAGCTTCAGGAGTTTGTAGAATTGGGAGCCCCTCTGGCAGCCACACCAAGCACAGAAAAAAGCCTCAGCACAGAGTTTTCAGAAATCACTTCTGTCCACTACTCTTTACACTGAAACCATCACAGGCTCTGTAGTCCAGTCAACAGCAATCTCCTCAGTTATACTTTTTCTGCAATGTGTTCCAAGTTATTTATTGCTATGAATAATGAAGCAGCAGTAATGCAGGAAAAAAGGGATCTGGGGTACTCTTGTGGTCTGGTTACAGGATGACTAGCTGTTTAGAAACAACAGGAGCCTCCCAAATCCTTTCCAGGACAAAGAAAGGGGTGACTTTTCTCAGTAAGCAAATAAGGAGTGCTTGAGGAGACACCACAACCAGTGCTGATCCTGTAACTCCCTGATGCAAGAGTACTCCAGTCTAATTGCTGTACATGAATCCACGTATTTTTTTCATTTAAACTCTCTATTTTAGAAGCAAAACTTACCTGTTTTGAAGCCACAAGAAGGAATAGCATAGCTGATGCATCTTAAACTGAAAACAAGAAGACATATTAGCTTTTCTTCTTTAAAGAATGTTATTTTTACAGATACCTCTTTGAGAGATGCAAAGTAAAATACAAAACACTCTGAGCCTTAAAGTCCCCCTCGACACAATCTAAATTTCTGCTCTTTGATCACACAAGGACACAAGAAATAACTGCTGCCTGTATTTTTATGCAGAACAGAACCACTGAAGTACTTTACTTTCTACAGCTTAAATTCTGCTGTTCGATCACCGGATCAGCCCCGTGACCTTTGGCTGCTCAGAAAGGCCCACGTGGCGCCTCAGCTATCCCAGACAGCCCACAAGTGTCCCGTGCCCAGCTCAGATCCGTTGGCATTCATCAATCACTCTCTCAGATGTCCCTACCAACGCAGTTCTCATCATGTGCGGGCATAAGGGAGTCCGAGTGAGCCACTGCTCTTTAAACGTTCACAATCACAGGATATGCAGAGTTGGAAGGGGCCCACCAGGATCAGTCCAACCCCTGTCCCTGCACTAACACCCCAACAATCTCCCCCTGTCCCTGAGAGCGTTGTCCAAACGCTCCTGGAGCTCTGGCAGCCTTGGGGCCGCGAGGCCAACCCTTAATCCTTTAAGGCACCGTGTGCACATTTCAGTAGCGGAGGAAATCCTTAACCCTTCCACAACGCTACAATCGCATTTTGCACATTTATCCGCCAAAGCAACCACCTTTAAAGCCCAGCGCACAGTGAAAAAAGGCACCAACCCACAAAACCCAGGGATCCGTAATGCAGCGGGCCCATCCCATGCTGCCACATGCCAGGCGCGTTTCCCACGGGAAAAGGGCTCCTGGGTAAGACCCCACAACTCAGCGTCTCGTGTATTACCCTGCACCTCCAAGTTGATACCCCCAAACCCGTGCGGGCCCCCATGGGACCCCGCTCGCACAGCGCCGAGGTCGCCACGAGGCACAGCACCAGCGGCCTAGGCCCGGCGGCGCAATCCACCCCCATCCTCCCGCTCCAGCGCTCATCGGGGGCCCCACCGCACCCCGAGGGTCCCCGCAGCGCCCCGCCGGCCCAGCCCGGGGGTAGAACAAGCGCGCACTCACCGCGGGGGCCGCACGAAGCCCTCCCACCGCTCCGCGCCTCAGGAACAAAGAGACCGCCAGCCTCCTGCGCGGCCTTTATATAGGGTTGGGAATCACGTGACTTTGCGCGGCCCCACCCCCCTCTGGGCGCACCCCGCGGGCGGGGGCGGTGCGCGGGCGCACGGTCCGCACGGCGTTTCCTTCCGGGGCGCGGCCCGCGCTGGCGCGTTTCGGTTCCGGGCCGGCGCTGCGGGCCCTTCCCACCCCCGGCAGGTGAGCCCGGTCCGGGGAGGGGCGGGCGGAGGCGGCCCCGAGGAGAGCTGCGGGACGGCCCCAGGACGGCCCGGGGGGCGCGGGAGGACGGGCGGGGGCGGGGCGCGGCCGCCGCCCCTCAGCGCGGCGGGGGGGAGCGCAGGGCGGGCCGGGCTGTGCCCCCGCTCGGGGGTCCGGGTGCCGCTGTCACGGCCATGGCGGGCCGAGGGGCAGCGCCGGGGACAGCGGCACCGAGAGCCCTGCAGCGCCGGGGGGAGCACCGCCGGGGGTCGGGCCGGACGGGGAGTCGAGAGAAGTCCCGCTGGGATCTGGGAGGAGCCGAGCCGCGTTGGGTTTGGATATTGGGAAGGAATTGTTCCCTGTGAGGGTGGGGAGGCCCTGGCACAGGTTGCCCAGAGAAGCTGTGGCTGCCCCATCCCAAGGCCGGGTTGGACGGGGCTTGGAGCAACCTGGGCTAGTGGAAGGTGTCCCTGCCCATGGCAGGGGGTGGCACTGGGTGGGCTTTAAAGTCCCTTCCAACACAAACCATTCTGGTATTCTAAGTTGTTTCTGGTGAGCAGTGACAGGACCCGAGGGAATGGCTGGAGCTGTGTCAGGGGAGGTTTAGGTTGGATTTGGGGAAAAAGTTCTTCCCCTAGAGGGTGGTTGGCACTGACCAGGCTCCCCAGGGCAGTGGGCACAGCCCCAAGGCTGCCAGAGCTCCAGGAGGGTTTGTACAATGCTCTCAGGGACAGGGGGAGATTGTTGGGGTGTCTGTGCAGGGCCAGGAGTTGGACTCGATAGTCCTTGTGGGTCCCTTCCAAATTCTGTGAAGTTGCCCAGTCGTGGTAGATCTGAGCCCAAAAGATGAGTTTTCAGTCCCTCTGTGCAGCCCCCAGGGCGAGTGTCTGACAAGGGCCATTCACAGTGATCACCACCTGCTGTAGGGGATCTGCCTCTGCCTTTTCCCTGATGAAGTGAGAATTTCTCTTCTCAGGAGCTGCCTCACACAGGGAAAGGCATTTGCTGAGATAAGTAAAGGCCAAGTCCAAGCTGGTGACACTTCAGATTGCATTGAAAGCTGCTGAGTGTCCCAATCTGTGCCCTGTGCCGATGCTCAGCCCTGAGGGAAAGGTGTGTGCAGGTGACGGACTTCCCAGGGAAGACAGAAATTGGGATGTTATTGCTGAGGTGCAGAAGCTGATGAGAGACCCCCTACCTGGGGACACAGAAATCGCCCTGACAGGGGAGTTTGAACCAAGCCCACAGATTCCCCTTCTCCAGCCTCTGAGGATGTTCCCCAAAGTGTATAAAACATAAAGTGCCTCATGAAATGCAGGTTCCCCCATTCTGAGTTGGGCAAAGCTCCAGGGGTCTTTTCCTCCTGCCATAAAGGGCTGATGGATTTTTCCTACTTTTGGAGCAGGAGCTCACAGATAATTTTTTGGGCTCCCCTGGGAGCAGCTGCCCTCAGAGCAGGGCCATACCCAGCCAGTTGAGGTCTGATTGCTGTTTTTACCCTTCCCTTCCTGTACCTCCTGAGCTCAGCTTCTGCCACTGCCTCGTCTCCCTGGGTGCTTGTGGATTGTTTCACCCTTGCCTTTGCTTCCCTGCCTCAAGGGAATGCTCTGGGGCTTATTGCTTTAGGAACAGGTGTTTTGGGAAGGTGGCAAACCAGGAATGACAAAGCCTGACATCCATGGCCATGCTCGAGAGCACACAATTTCTCCATGCTTCATTTTTCCTTTCTTTTTTTACCCTCTCAAGGGGAAGGGGGCAACAAGCTTCCAAACCTTCTCACTACATCAGAAGGAAAAAAGAGAACAAGAAGGCAGTACCCCCAGTTCCTCTCCCCCTGCATGTAACTCACAGCGCTCCAGGTAAGACACTGGGGTTCCTGTTTCCCCTGGCTTTGTGTGTTTGAAGTGCTACTCCCAGCACTGTGGAATTGTGCACTGTAGCTCGTTGGGTTTGAGGGGGTTTTATCTCCTAAAGATAGGGAAGAACATCAACCTGTTGGAGTGAGTCCAGAGGAGGGACACCAAGATGATCAGAGGGCTGGAGCAGCTCTGCTGGGAAGAAAGGCTGGAAGAGTTGGGATTCTTCAGCTTGGAAGAGAGAAGGCTCTGACGTGACCTGATTGTGGCCTTCAGGGCCTGAAGGGAACTTACAGGAAAAATGGAGAGGGACTGTTTACAAGGACCTGAGTGACAGAACAAGGGGGAATGGCTTCCCACTGACAGAGGGCAGGGTTAGATGGGATATTGGGAAGAATTGATGAGGCTCTGGCACAGGTTGCCCAGAGAAGCTGTCGAAGTGCCAAGGCCAGGTTGGATGGGGCTTGGAGCAACCTGGGCTAGTGGAAGGTGTCCCACCCATGGCAGGGGGTGGGATGAGATGGTCATTAAGGTCCCTTCCCACCCAAAGCATTCCATGATTCTGTGACAGGAGGAAGTGAGAAGAAGCCTTAATTCTGGGATTCCTTGGAGTAGACACTATCAGCCTCAGTATTCTCAGCCTGCCTGAAATGGTATTTATACCTGCAGCACTCTGCTCAATCCTCACTTCAGGTGCCATCCAGCTTGGAAGCTGCTCACGCCATGAATGGGCTTTAACAAGCTTATTTACTTTCTTTTTTTGGGGGGGTGAGTTTACATCTAATTTTGGATCATTCCAAATCTTTACCATATATGGTCAAGGCTCCTTTTCAAACTGCCAAAATGCAGTGTGATGATGTGGTGGTGCATCCCCCCATCCCTGGCCCTGCTGGAAGCACCTTGGAAGCTCCTGATAAGCCTTGACGGACCCGCTGAGCGGTGAAGTGTCCCCTGACTGCACCAGCTGGGCCGGGAGGTGCTCCCTGATCCTGCCAGGAGCTGCTGGGTGGTACAGGTGGGAACAACCAGGAACATCCCAGCCAAGGTGGGGAACAAAGGATGAGCCGTTATCCTTCGGAGCCTCGGTAAACCATTGACCTGGATCGCCGTCCGGGCGGAACGGCACCGCTGGGGATTGCAGCCCGAGTGGAACAGTCCCATTGTTACTGTGCTTTGGGAAAGAGCCCAGGACTTAGGGACTTGGGATATGGCCAGGATGGGAAATTGGTGATGACCAAAGTCAGTGGCCTTGTGACCCTACAAACAGTGGTCCTGAGTGAGGCCTTTTGACTCTCCTGGGCCACACCTTTTTCTTTCACCCTCCCGTTATATATTTTCTGGCATGTGTCAGAAGTGTCACATATGATGGATATCTTGGGATTAACGACGCCCTTAAGATGTCTCGAGGTCAGATGTATGCCGGCCAGCTTTTCAGAAGTCTCAGGAGGATTTAGGTCCAGGTGTCTCCTTCCTGATTCCTGTTGTACGAAGGAGGCATAACAATATTACTTTCCCTTTTCAAAGTGCTTAGAAGGTACAAGTGCTGAGTATTTTAATCCATTATGCAATCAGCTGCCTATTTTTAGTATCCGAACCATTTTTTCTGTTCTTTTTACAATGCAGGTGTGCTTTAATTGAGGCTGACAGAGTGAAGTTCTTCGGGCGCCGAAGCGCCAGTAGGGACTGGGGGTCTCTGAGGGGCTGGTTTAGCAGAACGCTGGTGCAGGGTGGTTGGCACAGCACATAGAGAGCACAGAGCCCTGCCAGGTGTGGGGCAATTCAGTGGGGAGAGAGGTCTCTAAAAATCCCATGTGGAAGCAGGTAAAAAAGGTTCTAAATGCAAATGACAGGCTGGCTGTGCTAATGACAGTGTCTCTTCCCCCTTTTCCAGCGCAGTCGTGCACCTGCAACCGGGACAGCCATGGAGAAGAGCGGGAACATTCAGCTGGAGATTCCTGACTTCAGTAACTCTGTCCTGAGCCACCTGAACCAGCTGCGCATGCAGGGCCGACTGTGCGACATCGTGGTCAACGTGCAGGGCCAGGCATTCCGCGCGCACAAGGTGGTGCTGGCGGCCAGCTCGCCCTACTTCCGCGACCACATGTCCCTCAACGAGATGAGCACCGTGTCCATCTCTGTCATCAAGAACCCTTCTGTCTTCGAGCAGCTCCTCTCCTTCTGCTACACAGGCAGGATCTGCCTGCAGCTGGCCGACATCATCAGCTACCTAACAGCTGCCAGCTTCCTGCAGATGCAGCACATCATAGACAAGTGCACGCAGATCCTTGAGGGGATTCACTTCAAAATCAACGTTGCAGAGGTGGAGGCGGAGTTGAGCCAGACCAGGACGAAGCATCAGGAGAGACCGCCTGAGTCTCACCGGGTGACACCAACCCTGAACCGTTCTCTGAGCCCGCACCACAACACCCCGAAGGGGAGCCGCCTGGGCCAGGTGAGCACAGTGCTGGACATCCGGGAGCTCAGCCCGCCCGAGGAGTCCACCAGCCCCCAGATCATTGAGCAGAGCTCAGATGTGGAAGGCAGGGAGCCCATCCTGCGGATTAACAGGGCGGGACAGTGGTACGTGGAGACGGGGATGGGAGAGCGCGGGGCCCGGAGCGACGACGACGTGCGGGTGCTGGGCGGAGTGCGCATCAAAACCGAGAACCTGGAGGAGTGGCTGGGGGCAGAGCACCAGCCCTCGGGAGAGGACGGGAGCAGCGCCGAGGAGGTCACGGCCATGGTGATCGACACCACGGGCCATGGAGCACTGGGCCAGGACGCCTATGCCCTGGGCTCCTCCGGGGCCAAAGCGGTCAGGCCAACCAGCACTGAGATCGACAGGTGGGTTTCCTTTGACTCAGTTGCTGACCTTGGCTGTGCAATATTTTCACTTGGCTGGGTTGGTCTCTCTGGAACGTTGCCATCTTAAGTGCTGAATGAGTTTTTTTTCCTGGTGTAAAGAAGTGTGTCTGGTTTGGGTTATAGTATTTTGTCTGGGTTGTGATGAGACCAGGATCTCCAGCTACAGGCCAGTTCTGTGCATAGGTTGGGATTTATTGTGTTTCAGGTGAGGTGGGATTTTTGTTTAAAGAAGGTGTTCTGTGCAGCCTCATTACATACCAGGCTCAGCATGGGGATTGACAAGGTCAAATACAATATGTGTTACCCAAAGTGTCATTGCACTGATGCCTTCTGGCCTGAAAATCTGGGGATGGTTCTGGCTGAGAAACAAGCCGGGCACCATCTGTAAGTCAAGAGCAAATTTTGTCCCTGGTGCTTCAGGGCAGCAGTGGGCCCTGGGTTTACATCTTCTGGAGCAGCTGAAGTGGGGAGCCCAGTGGCCTCTACTGTTGGTTTGATTTATATGAGAGAGCAGAAAGCCTTTATGTGAAAATGAGTGGTGAAATCTGCTGCATTTAGATTCTCCATCCATCTGCTTCCCCTCGGCTCGAGTATTTATTTTGTTGCCCTAAGCACGGCCCAGAGAGCGGATCTGATAAAGGGCAGGTCTGTTGGATTGGAGCGGGTTATATTTCCAGGGTGTCCCTTCACATCTGCCCCTCTTCTACCTCAGTTCCTCTGGTCCCAGAGAGGAACGGCTACCTGGAAGCAGTGAATATTCTGCCACTTGTTGCCTAATAAATCAATCAGTGGGAACAATCTTGAGCTGGGCCTTGGGAGAGCAATGCTTTCTACTTCCTTAGCTCTTTTCCAGGGATCAGTTAGTCTCAAGCATCTCTTCTTCCACTGCACTCAGTATCCCCTGTTTCCCACCTGGAGTCCATCACAGCCTTGTGTTTCACTCTGGGGAGTGGCAGGAGAGTGTGGGTGGTGGATGAGAGTGCCCTCAGAGAAATGGTTTCTGCTCCTGCTGTGCAGTTCCAGAGTCACCGGGCCTGTGTTGGTTTACTCCTGATAGCAACCCCAAAGCTCTCTGTCACTGAACTGGAAGCCAAATGACTCAGTTTTATTTTTCAGATGTTAAGACTGAACCCACATGCCAATATGACTTGGTTTTTCCTTTATACTTGCACTGTTCCACCTCCTGTGTGTTAGCTGGTGAGATTGAAGAGATGCTGTACAGGTGCCTCCACTGCTCACCTGTTGTTCTAAACACCGTAGTGACCTGATGCCCATTAAAAACTCCATTTACACTCTTCCCCCACCCCACAGATTTAGCCCTTCTGGCAGCATGGTTGCTGTGACTGAGCGGTACAGATCAAAAAGCGAGTCTCCCGGGCGGATGGATGAGCCCAAGCAGCCCAGTTCCCAGGTAGGCAGATCAAGAAGTTTGCAAGTAAATGTTGGCTCGGAGGTGAAGGGGGCTGTGTTGTGATGAAGTGTGTCATATTTTATATTTGCAAGCAGTACCACGTGTGAAACAAGGACCTTTTGCTATTGTGAAGGGTTTAGTTGCTCACACTGAGAACGTCTGCTGGCTGTGTACAATTTAAAACTGATTGTGGTCGCTTGGGATTTTGGCCAGATACCTGGAAAACACAAGGAGTTTCTCTTGTTGTCTGAGGGCATAAATATCCACCTTCATTCTGGGCAGGCCACCAACTCCTGAGGAGAAATCCCATTTGCCTGCAGAGCTGGATCTGCCCTGAAACACTGGCAGCAAATGCCTGAGCTGAGGGGGGAGGTGTGGCTTGGCTTCTGTGGAAGACTGAGGGGTGACAGCAGCTGAACCTTTCCAAAAAGCCCTCCAGGCACTACACCCATAAACCTTTGGGGTGGAGAGTCAAAGGGCTGTGGATTTGTGCAGAGGTTTCTGTCTAATTCCCAAGGCACCGTGTTGCACGGCAGAATTTGCAACGTATAAAGGAGCTCTGAATTTTCTGCTTTCTTGGGCACAGTTTTGGGGTAGGAGGGAGAAATGCAGAAACGGGAGGGCAGTGGGGAGTGCAGCAAGGTGGGACAGTGGTAATACCTGTGCCTAATGATTTTGGTCTAGTTTTGTTGCATACAGTGAGTGTCAGAGTGACACTGTAGTGCAAATGTGTCAGCCAACACAGTGCAGAAGGACTCTGTGAGCCTGACAAATAGGGAATGTGTCAATGTGTAAGCAAATGGTTTGGCTGGAGGCAGGTTGAGGAATTACCAGGCTGCTTTGCTCTTGAGTAAGACCAAGTGAAGCAACGGGGAAAAAAATCATGATTGCTGTCTGCTGCCTCTGTAATACACTTCCATAAAACAACAGATACCTTTTCGTTCCTGTTTCTCCAAAGCTTTGTTTTGTGTCCTTAGAAGACATTGAGAAAATTTCAGGTCAAACTCACCCTCCGGGGGCAATGTGACATACAAAGCAATTCTAGCTCTTCCTACAGAAAAGCTGCTCTTATTTCTGCATTGTGAGATGACCTCAAATATAAAACCTGAGGCTTTACACACATGGGGAGGTCTCATCACCCTCTCCTGGCATTGCCATATCCATACTAAAAGAGCCTGCCTGTGATCCCTGCCCAGTGGCAGCGGCAGAGTGGAAAGGAAGTACCAGAGCTCTGTGCATGTCCTTGAGTCCTGAGCAGCTTCCCTGTGCCTGCATGACCAGATTCAGCAGCACCTGGCACCTGTACAGTGCTGTTCACACAGCCCTGGCCGCCAGAGGAGGGGCCCTCCTGCTGTTACACGTTCTCTGTGCTTGGCACTGCTGAGAAGCAGCGTTGGGAGAGCAATCCCCCAGCACGGAGCATTCCGGAGTCGGTCTGTTTGTGCTCCATCAGAAGACAATGGCCAGAAGTGTCTGTCGTGGTTCAGGGTTGCCCTTGGCTGTTTGTCTGTGTGGCTTTGGAGAACACAGAGGAGCCAGCAAGTCCTTGCTGTGTGAGCTGGGCTAGGGGCTGGGCTGGGTCACACAGCCAGGCAGGCAAAAGTGACTGGTTATAATAAAATGAGCCCTGAGTGACACCTGAATAGATACCTCAGTGAGGTGTGAAGTGACACCTCAAGGGTTCAAAGTTCCATTTGTCAGTTTGTTCCACCTTTGTTTTAAAAAGCAAGCTCGTCAATTGGCTTCCTGTTTTTAACCTTTAGTAAGTAAAACAGAAGGTGGCATACAGTATTTTAATAAAACTGGCCCAGATTTTTAAAAAAGTAACAAGTATTGACACATGTGACCCACAACTCCATTGGTGGCCAAGCATGCTCGTGACAAGGACTATCTTTTGTTCCCCAGATCCAGGGAATAACTTGGCAGAGGGGGCCTCTGTAGCAGTGGTTTCTAATTGATTGCTCGTTTGTCTTCAGCCCCAAGGCCCCAGTTAAGCACTTAAATATGTGCTTGAGGTTGCAGAGATTAGTGCTGCTGATTTTGAGGTTTGGCATGAGCTTTACTGGCTGGACTGGGGCCTGATCTTCTTCTCTGCAGTTTGTTTTAGGCTGCTTGTTATTTAAATCTGCTGTTTCCTTGGCAGGGGGAGGAATCAACCATGCTTGGAGTGAGTGGTTACGTGGAGTATCTGCGGGAGCAGGAGGTTTCCGAGCGCTGGTTCCGGTACAACCCACGGCTCACGTGTATTTACTGCGCCAAATCCTTCAACCAGAAGGGCAGCCTGGACCGGCACATGCGGCTCCACATGGGCATCACCCCCTTTGTGTGCCGCATGTGTGGGAAGAAGTACACCCGCAAGGATCAGCTGGAATATCACATCCGCAAGCACACGGGCAACAAGCCCTTCCACTGCCACGTCTGCGGCAAAAGCTTCCCTTTCCAGGCCATCCTCAACCAGCACTTTCGCAAGAACCACCCCGGCTGTTTGCCCCTGGAGGGGCCCCACAGCATCTCCCCCGAGACCACAGTCACGTCCCGGGGGCAGGCAGAGGAGGAGTCCCCTCCGCAGGAGGAGGCTGTGGCTGTGGGGGAGACGGCACAGGGATCTGTGTCCACCACTGGGCCGGATTGAAACACGACTGCGGAGTCCGGGGAGAAAGGACCATCTTCCCTTTCTTGGCTCTCCAGAGTCAGCACCAACCTGGCAGGCTGGTACTGTAATTAGTGCAATGCCACCACTGGACAGAAGGAAGCTCCCAAGATGTTGCCAAAATAGAAAAATCTCTTCTCTCTCTCTCTCTCTCTCTCTCTCTCTCTCTCTCTCTCTCTCTCTCTCTCTCTCTCACCCACACACACACGGAGTGTTAAACGTTTTTCTCCCTCATTCCTCCTCCTCTTGGAGAAAAACAGAACAACTGTGTCAATCAACTTCTTATTCAGGGATCGACAGGATTTTAAATTTTTTTACTGTTCCGTAGTGACCTGGGACAAGCAGTCATTTGTATTTCTGGACAGCCCTGTGGCCCAGCAGCCAGGCCCCGCCGGCGGTGCCGGTGGCAGCCCCGCGGCCCCACAGAGCCATATCCGCTGGTCCCGCTCGAGGGGAGAGCAGGGGCAAGGGCCTGTTGCCTTTCTCCCTTGCCCAGGTAGAAAACAAAAAGACTGTCCTGGTGGAGCCTGCCTTGCCCGAGTGTATTTATCCCTGTCTTATTTTTTGTGTGTTTCTTTACATTTTTGTTTAAGCTGTTACTTTAGGGCTTTTGGCCTTGCCCGTTCCAGGCGCATGGCCTCAGCACCCCTTGTTAAAGCAGGCATGGCTCCAAGGCAGTATTCCACAGGTCAGCGAGATGTGAAGGAAGCACTTGGGCTACTGAGAGTGGGATTTAGCAGTTGTGAAGTTCGTGTGAGATGCTGATGCCTTGGGAGAAGGGCTGGAGGGGTCTTCCAGAGGAGGTTGTCTGCTGGTGCGACCGGAGAGCTCAGAGCTCTCCGATGTCCCGACCAGAGCGCTGCCATGCTCCAGGGGTTGCCAAGGGTTAGGCACAGATTTTCTGGAGTGGCTGAATTCCGGAGTTAGAGGCTGGCTACCAAAGTCCTCCTTCACCCCTGCTCCCCCCTCGACACGCACTTATCTTTTATAACAGCAATATGTGATACAGAAATACTGCAATGCTGTCGTCCCAGCCAAGCAATCATGGGTGGTTGCTTTTAAACCTGTTTCTACAAACTACTTTGATAACTTTTTTAATCAATGAAATGCAAAAAGAAAAGAAAACTCTACCTTATTTCCTTGTAGAAGTTCAGGAGACTTAAAAGTGAATGGTTCCTAGAGCAATCACAACTCTGTCCCCTTGCATGGACTTCAAGATTTTTGTATTCTGAGCAGCTCTGATGTTTAGAGCAAGTTTAGCAAACCTGGAGAGATGTGCCTGCGTGTGTATTGTAGGTGTTTGCACGGGCTTACGTGGTTCATAACCGGAACAGCATGGGACAGGTAGATAAGTGCAAATATTCTGACATCTTTTGAAGAAGTCTTTTAAAAAAATATGCAATATTTTAAGAGTTTTCTCTGGTTCTGATGCCAAGTTGTTCATGACAGAGGGGGGAAATGAACGACAGGTTGCGCGGATTGGGTCTGGTGAAGGAGTTCTCTTGAGGATGTAAGATAAAGGAAGGGTGAAGTTCTGATCCTTAAGGCGATGGGAGGAACAAAGAGACATTGGAAAAGAAATACACTTCATCTTGCTTCAGCTAGAAAGCTGGGTGAGTGGTTGGAACAGGGGCTTGGTGGGCAGGAGACTGACCACGTGACAGCAAAGCTTGACCTGCAGTCAAACTGCACAATTTTGGGCACATGGAAACATCTCCAACCTTTGCTTTCCCCACTTTCAAATTGGGACTCAGGATCATTTTCATGCCCCTTTAGAGGGAAGAATTTGGGGAAGGGTGATGTATTCTTGCCTCACTTTACAGATCATTTTTATAGGTGAGGGGTCTCACTGTTCCTCCCATCTCTCTCTCAAAAAGAGACGTGGCTCTAACGTGGTTTTGTGTGTGGGAAGGGCTTGGTGCCAGGATCATATGTAACAGGGAAGTGCTCCTAAGAGAGGAACCTTTGCAGGTGTCCTGAGCCAGGCACCTGCAAAGCACCATTTCATTGACCATTTCAAACAGGAAAGCTGATATTTCACCTCCGTTTTCCTTCTGTCCCTTCCTCCTCTCCTGTCAAGTGCATCGTCACACGGGGAGTGATTTGGCCACCCGAGGGACCAGCCCCGTCGGGTTTCCTGGTGAAGGTCAAGCAGGATGGTACCCAAACAGTGAGGTTGCAGTGGCAGAAGATGAGGTGAGAGGGTGGCCAAGGTAGGTTTCGTTGCAATCGAGGTGTGGGAAGGAGTGGAGATGTGCTGCTTTAGTCATAGCTTTTGAAGTTACCAAAAATGAAAAAAAAAAGAGTTAAAGACTTTGAAATCCTATCCTGTTCACACTAGAGAACATCAAAAGTTACTTTTAGTTGCTTAAAAGATTTTTAAGTGTTTTAAAATAGAAATTTTAAAAGAATACTACCAAACTATAAAAACATAAAATTATTTATATACATATATTATATATAAATATAGTGGGAAAGTTTCCCTGCTAAGCTTGCTGTGAAGAGAAGGGTGAAGGTGCAGTAACTGCTACACAAGCAACATTTTTCTGAGACAGATGGCAACCGTAGTGAAGAAGGCTGACATAAAATGGTGACTGCCTTTATTCCCATGGCATAGCTGTGAGTTTCTTGAGCAGGTTTGTGTTTTACTGTATTGATACTGTGAACGGAGGAGCATCCGGACAGCCCAGGGTGCCAACGGTGTGCCCTGTTTGCTGATTCACTACTTTAATTGGCCTGGTGAAAACCATGAAATTGGTCCTCCATATCCTACTAGGCTGAAAAACAAAGCTTGTGAAAGGTTTTTATTTTTTTTTCCTCCTTTATGTTTGCTTTTGGTTTTGGTTTGGTTTGGTTTTTTGTTTGTTGTTTTTTTTTTTTAGTGCAGAGGTTGCCACTGTATAAACGATCATTTCTGATTGCATGCAAAAGAGCCAATTCTTGCCCAGGCCTCACTGAGGTGAAGTTTATAGCTTGTAGCTAGAGTCAGTATAAGGTATGGTAGTGGGAATCATTTTAATATTATTTCTGTACATTTAATGGATGTGTATGTATGTGTGGGAGTCATGGTGTCTCTAATACGTCTTGAACATTGCTGAAAGCAGTTCAGGCCCGTCCACACTGGACGGCGGAACCAGTTCCGAAGGAATCATTATTGAACATTTCTTTCAGTGCTTGACCTTCTCGGTGCAGATAAGGGCAAGATTTGAGGAAAAAGGGGTTGGAGGTCATGTATGGTATGGAAAAACCTCATGTGAATTTCCTGGCAGTGGTGTAGCTACTCAAGAGGTGCTTTCCTAGCAGAATGCTGCCGTGTTCCATTGCCTCTCCACTGGCACGGCTCTTCACAGTTGCACCGAAGCTGTGGAGAATCAGATGCCAACTCTTCAAGTGCGAATGCTTCTGTGATGGGTTGAGGCACAGCTTTGCATTCCCATGTCTAGCTGCAGCTTTTCCTGCCAAAACTGTGATTTCAACTGTGATTTAAGGAGGATGTGAAGAGAACTCTGTCATGTTTTAATACCTCTGTACATAACATTTCTGTCCGCTTCAGAGTTAGGGCTGACTAACCCGTTTGTTTGCTTGCCTCAGGCAACAGGGAGAACACACTCTGGTTTCGCAGTTTGTTTTCTCAGAGAGGAAACACGTTTCTTAGTTCTTTGCTGCCAAGGAACTCACCTCCCAAATGTGAAGAGTTGTGGTTATCTCCTTAAGCCTGCAGCAAGCCCTGGTGCCAAATCACAGCCGAGTGACGTGACGGTTGCCGTGGCTGTTCCTGCTGCTGCCAGGTTCCCTGTGAATAGCTGTGAAAATAACCAGAATTGCGTTATACTGTGCTGCTGCTTTGGGAAAAAGCTAAACCTCTTCCTCTCAGAAGGATGACCAATGGGAAACTGGGAAAGGGAGAAAGGAGAAGGTCTTTTTGCTCTCTTGCAATGGGAGTGGGTGGAAACAAATTGGTTTTTTGTATTTCCAGCAGCTAGAGAGGGATGAATGAGAGGCTTTATGGAATGTGAATTTGTAACAGGAGACTAAGAACATGCTTAGAGCCACTTAGTAAGATGCAGAGCTGTCAGCCCAGTGAGAGCCAGAGCAGCCAATGCAGATGGGCAGTCCCTGGCTTATCGTCCCAGCACTGCCCACCATCAGGTCAGTCCTTGGACTTACCAACACCTTCTCCACAATGTTCTCAAGCTGTGACCTGTATAATTCAGCTTTCAGAAGTTTGTGTGCCTGAAGAAGGGCAGGAGGAACAGAAAGCTGCTGTTCCCATTTGACAGCTATCCAGAGCTGGAATAGCACTGGGAACAAGCTGTGGCCTGGCTGAAAGGCATTGTGGGGCTGGCAGGGAGGGCACAGAGCCAGGAGTTCAGCCCTCTGTGGGATCAGAGTTGAAATAAATGGACAGGACAGCTCTCCCTGCTTTTCCTGCTCAGTGGCTGTTTCCGTTCCACATCTCTGCGGTGGGAACATCACTTAACATGCTCCTTTCAGCCAGTGATTCCAGGCCTGGTCTTGGAGCTGGGTCCTTCCGTGCCTTTGGGTGATTCAGCCCTAAGGAGGCCTTGGCAAGAGCAGAGTTGAAGCTTTTATTTGCTTCTGACTTCATCTCTCCTGCAGAACCCAAGGTATAAATAGGAAGACAACTGCAAAGGTTGGGGTGGAAGGTGGCTTGGGAGGTACACAGGGTCATGTTGAGGACCAACAAAAATAGCACTTAAAATGATGTAAACTTTATCAAACTCTCGTCTTTGATCTGTGACATGCCTGCCAATTTAGCTGTGCCAGCATCCAGGTGTTTCTGCAGATTAGTGACACCAAATGCTGTTCTTGTTCTGCTGGAAATATTTTGGGGATGGGAGTAGTCCCTGCTCATGGCAAGGGGGTTGGACTAGATGACCTCTAAAGGTCCCTTCCAGCCCAAACCATTCAGTAAGTCAAGGAGCTGTAATTCAGGAGACTTTTTGGGCTCTCAGTTTTCCCTGAAAGCTGAGCCTGTGGCCAAGACTGCAGTTGGAAGGTCTGGGATCTGCTGATGTAGCCAAGTCTTTACTCCTGCCATGAGATGAGAGCCATGCACAGAGCTCTGACATCTGCAGTGGCAGGGCCTAAAGTGGAGCTCAGCATCCTTAATTTGGTCATTGTCATTCAAGGGATATTTTAATATAAAATACATACATACACATATATGTACATTTATATATATATATTTGTAACCAAATAAAAGCTAGATCTATGCAAACACTACTGGCTGCTGCTTGAAACTAAAATCTACCAGAACATTTTGGAATAGAGTAGGCTTGGAGGAGACTTGCTGTGATTTGTTTGTTTTTCTTTTTTTAATAAAGTGCAGCAGACCAAAGTTTTGCTGCGGTTAGTCTTACTAGAAATTTAGGTTATTCCAAACCTGGAACTCGCTCAAGTGGGTTATAGAATTATCTGAAGAGTCCGACCATCTCTAAAATATTTCCATCTGCTGAAAGGCTTTGGCTTGGCAAACATAGGGAAAGACAGAGGCTGGGACTAGGAGATATTAAAGGTGACGCTTGGGCTGATAGAAGTAGCATCAAGAAAGGACTTGGGAGCATTTTCTTTTGAATGTAAGATTGAGTTGACTTCTAGGAATCTTCCTACTTGGGAAAGCATCCATTGCTGAGGTGGAGGCAGAGATCAGAGCATCCTTGGGATGAATTCTGGTTTTGATGGAGATCTTCCTGCTGAATCTGATTGTTCCAGAGTTTAGTCTGCTGGGAGAAACTTCATGTGGTTTCTTTGTGTCAGATCCGATCTTTGCTTTTAGGATTAACTGCAATATATCTCTAACCTTCAGTGACCTTTGGCTTTTTATTCCTGGGGCTGTAGAAAATTCAGGTTTCCCATAACATTATCCTCATCCCAACTGTGAACAAGTTACTACTGCTTCTTATAATTTATTGTCTTTCTGTTCCTGAACGTCTGTGTGATCCAGCTGGTCACCAGCACCACCTTCCAGTGCTTCATTAGCTTTTATGCACAGGGAATTGTTGCAATGGATAAGTTGACCACGCTAGTTGGAAGAGTGGAAGCCTTTGGAGAATGACTTTTGCTTCCTCTAGCTGTCATTAGGGAGTGCACACACACATACTGTATATACATATATATATATACACACACATATATAAAGTGTTTCAGTATAAACTCATTTAGCGTTATTCTTATTTAATTTATATTTTAATCCAGTTGTAAACCAAAGTATTACAGCTTGTGGGAAGACGTGTCTCGGAAATAGGAGGAACCTTAGGAGGTTGGAGCTCTGAAAGGTTTTTGTTGATGAAAACATGGATATGAATAAGACTTAAGAACCTGTGCTGCTGAATCCTAGGGATTTGCAGCCTTGGAAGGATTTGAGACTTGCTGGGTAAAGTTGGATGGTGGAGCCTTCTGAAGGTGTTTTTCATGGTCCTTAATGGTTTTGTAGGAAAACAAGTATGTCCTGGCAAGACTAGAAATAAAAAGGGAGAAGGCAGAAAATCAGTGTGGTCTGGCACAACTGGGGGCTGGAGAGAAGAAGCCACAAAACCAGTCACTGATGCATTTAGTGTCTAATTGAAAGTTTTAGAAAATGAGCCATTGCTATTTACTGATGTCTAGAGGTGGTTGGGGGTTGTTTTAGTAAGTTCTGTGGAGGTGCATGCTCTGCTCTCACCAATGGGAAGAAATTATGGGTTCAATGATAAAATCATGCTGATTTTTCTGTGCCAAGGAGTAATTGCCTTCCCGAGGAATGAGCAAGCACTAAGAACAAATTCAGCTCTAACAATCTCCCCACAGCCTTGGCAGCAGCTCTTGCTTCCTCTAGGGAGGAGGGAGACAGTTGAAATAAGAGGGTTCATCTGGTGTCAGCCCTGTCTGGAGCTGGTGGCACTAGAACCCACCTGGGTTGGGTAGAATAGGTGAAACAGCAGCAAAGCATCACTGGGAAAAGAGGAGTGCATGTGTCTGGCACGCCCTGGATGTCCTGGACAGGGAAATACCAGGTTTGGAACCTGCTCGTGGGCAGGAGCATTCAGGAAACCCTGTGCAAAGATCCCTATCCTGGAGATGAGAGCTGAACAGCACCAGTGTTCTCCATCCTGGAGTTTGAATGGTAACAAAGGAAGGCGAGTCCCCAGGGGGGCAGAGTCCCCAGGGGGTTCCTTCCATCAGAAGGAACTGAAGGATGGGAGGTGCAGACTGGGAAGGGCAGTGCCAGACAGATTTCAAAGTGCCATTTTCTGAGTGTTGGGTTTTCTAGCATGTGTTGCAGACCGGAGTTTGCTTTTGTGTCAGTGCTCTCTCCTTTACCAGTGTCACTGCTCCTGTTTAAACTCCGCAGAGAAGACAGAGCCAAACCCTTCTCAGAGGCACACGGTGCAAGGAGGAGTAGCAGTAGGTGGAAGTTTATACAAAGGAGCATAACGTTAGGTATTACAAGGTATTTTTTTCACCATGAGAACAGCCAAACAGCATTGAATCAGGTTGTCCAGAGAGGCTGGGAAATCCCCATCCTGGGACAGTGCAGCCTCCAGGTTCCTGTTTCCATTAGACTACGCCAAGCTGTGTTTTTGTTACCTTGGGTTTTTTTTAGTATTATAATGTACAAATGGGCAGCTTTAATGGGCTTCCTAGTTCATATCAGTTAAGCTTTTGAAACGTATTCAGGTATCTTTTAAATACTGCTGTGTAAGTTGTTTAATCTGACATATTCTGATTTATTATTTTACTGCAGTTACCTAAGGCAGTACTTAAAAAAAATCAGTGCATTAATTTTTTGCAGACTGTCAGCTGTGTTAAGCCTCCAGCTTAGTTTTTATTAATGTATTTAACCCCCTCTCCCTCAGATCTATGGTGAAATGCCTGCATTATTTTTATATTGCAGTGAGGCTTATTTATTGAAGCCTTCCCACTACCTTTGCAGTCAGACCCAGTACCATTGGCTATGAAACTGTGAAACTAATGAGAAATGAAAAATGAAGCTGGATTAGTTAGTTTTATTGCTGGTCATAAAATACAGAAAGCAGCAGTATAAAGGATAAAATACAATTGGAATTAGTTATTCAAATCATAGAATCACAGAATGGTTTAGGTTGGAAGGGACCTTAAAGCTCATCTCGTTCCAACCCCCCTGCCATGGGCAGGGACACCTTCCACTAGAATTCCAAGAGAAATTACTGAGTCTGGGGTGGGGGAAAGAATCACAGAACTATGTCTGAGAAACAAATTTTAACCTGATGATGTCACTTCACTGGTTCTCTGTTTGGTCAAGTGTAAAAGCTGTTTCTTGAGACGAGGAGGTTCCCCGGGGTCCGCTCGTTCACCTATGTGTCTTGGGCATTGGTTTGATACAGGGGTTTGTGCTCCCTGGTATTATTTTCTGAGAGTTTACGTGTCTAAGGAAACTCTCTGGATTACTGTGAAGCTTTTCCTTAATCCTCCTTGCACGTGCATTGGTAACTGAACACAAGTCTTGGCTGCAAGAGGTGGGAGGCAGGCGGGAGGTGCCGTTCCGCGGTGGGCACCAAGGAGGGAGGCATGGTGCAGTTCTCCTGCTGGCAGATGGGATTTGGCAAGGGGAGTGAAGACCCGGCCCCACTGTGGCTGTGCCCAGCCTGGGGGGGTCTTTCAGTTGGCTGCACCCCTGCCAGGGTCAAGGTGAGGTTGGTTTGTGGGGGCTGTTTGCAGGGCAGCCTGGATCTCCTCTGCTGCAGACGCAGGCAGTGATGGTGTAGGTGGCCTGCAGGTACTTTTCTCACGTGTTAGAAGGACTCCTAAGCCAGGGCTGTGTTGCTGAGGAAGCAGCCCAGGTGGAGTGTGGGTGAATTTGTCATACCCTTTGCTTCAGACTAACTGCCTGGGCTCCCCTGAGGTGCTGGCCTGGGTCGAAAGCTGACCTCAGGCAGCTTGCAGGGCTCTGCTGTCCCAGGGTGGGGACTGTGAGGGATATTGTGCAGGGAGGGGGGAGTGTTGTCATTCCAATAACACATTTGTTCTGTGTCCCTGTCTGTAACATTGCTGACAGTCAGGACAGGCCAAGGGCTGAGAGAGCAATCCTTGGGGGCACAGCGGGGACTGTTTTGAATAAGCTCTTTTAGAAGCTGAGTTAGGAGGAGAACACAAAGCTGTGCGTTCTTGCAGGAACGTACCCCTCACCTCGTGCCCCACGCTTGCAGGGAGGGTTAGAGAAGGATGAGGAGACTGGATCAGAGGGTAGTTAATGAAAATAGAAGCAAGATATTCAAAGTACTGCTTTAGTCTGAAAAGGGAAGAGAACCAATGCAGTTTTCCCAGGCATATTCCTAGTGTGTTAAACACTACCTGGAGCTCTCACGAGCTGTGTCCCTGTTGTCCCCCAGAGCTCCCCTCCTTTCCCTGATGTCACCTCACTTTCCCTGTACAACACTGTGAATATGATACCAGTAGCTCTTTGTAACGTTTCCATTAAAAGTGCCCAGAGCAGGAAACGCTGTCCTGCTGTGGGAGCACAGGCTGTGACCCCCCACCACCACCAAACAGGGCACGGATGGTTGAGCCCTTCCCTGCGGAGCAGTGGGAGAGGATTGTAGGAGTTCATGAGGGAAGTGGCTTTGTATAGCAATTTGCTAATCAAATTTGATTTCCTAACAAACTAAACTGACAATCAATTCCTAAAATATAAAAGCCTCTTAGAGAGAATAGTCAAGTGTATCTTCACCAGAAAGATTTAACTGGGATAACTTAATAAAGAGCACAGGATTTTTTCCTTTTTTTTCTTTTTTTTTTTAAGCAATCACTCCAGAAATGGAAGCAGCAGATTCACAGGACAATAACTACCTCTCTCTCTCGGAGTGCTGAGGTTACCACACTACACACTCGAGCAGCAAAGCTTTCACTTCAAAGAGATTTGTTTTCCTTACCTCTGTGTTTCAGAAATGCAGGTCTGCTCTGTAAAGTGACTCTATGAAAATGGCATCTGGCAGGAGCAGCGGGAGCCCCTCGGAGTCCAGAGTCCCTCTCGGCCTCCAGTTCCTTGCAGTGACCTTTGCAGGTTGGCTCTGGGGGTGTGACAGTTCTGGAGGGCTTTGTCACCTCCCCGGGTGCTGCACAGCAGTGAACTGTCCCGTGGGCTCGGCGTCCTGCACTGGGAAATTAGTCAGTGGTGGGAAAGGTGAGAGGAGAATCCATCTCCCTCTTGCCTCCAAGGGAGCAGGCAGCATTAAAAAAAAAGCAATAAGATAAAAATACAAACACTTTTATATGTCGTTCATTAGTCAGCAGATCTGACTCTGCAAATTTATATATATATATATACACAAACACATGCAGAGAGCAGATCTCTTGTGTGAAAAGGTGCCATTTTTTTCTAACCAGAGTCCCTTTCCAAACTAGAACAGCACTTTAAATAGGTTCCTCTTTAAAAAAAAAAAAAATAAAAAAAAAAAAAAAATTTATATATATATATATACACAAACACATGCAGAGAGCAGATCTCTTGTGTGAAAAGGTGCCATTTTTTTCTAACCAGAGTCCCTTTCCAAANCTCTTGTGTGAAAAGGTGCCATTTTTTTCTAACCAGAGTCCCTTTCCAAACTAGAACAGCACTTTAAATAGGTTCCTCTTTAAAAAAAAAAAAAAATAAAAAAAAAAAGAAAATCCTTTACTGCAGCAATGCACTTTAACTGGTCAGACGAGTACAGCTGTGGCTGGCCTGGGACACAGCTGGATGGGCAGGCGGCTCCTGGGCAGCCAGAGCCCGGGGGGAGCCAAGTTGCCAGACCCTGGGATGCCCCCGGCAGCCCAAAAGCCACGGCAGCTCTACCTCGGGAGTCCCGTGGGCTGGGGCAGCCCTGCAGGGATGGACCCGGCACCCCGGGGCAGCCCCGCCGAGCCGAGCACTGACAGGGCTGGGCCCCGGGGGGGCTTTGTCATCGGTCCAGAGAACCCACCCTTGCCTCTAAAGCAGATTTAAATCCCGTTTTTAACAGGTCAGAAGTTGCACCCAGTTACAACCCAGCTGAGCTCAGCTGCACAGCAGAGCCAGAGGAAGTTGTTACTGGGGCTGTGGGGTTTTTCCATAACGTGGGTATAGAGCCCTCGTCAGTTCAGTATTCTATTTTTTTTTTTTAAATGCAAGTTTGTGTCTCCCACATTGATTCTGCTCTGAGCTGGTTTGCAGAGTAACCCTTTGTAACAGAAACTGTGCTGTTGCCTTCAACTGTTGGCCTATAAATCAAACCTTTTAGGACAGGTGTCCTAACACTCAAGACTTACTTTCACAGTTAAGAAATTTCCTGCTGTACTAATTATTCACTTTTTTTTTTATTTTATTTTTGGTTGTAATCCTTATTTCGAGAAGAAAAAGTCAGCGTTCAGACTAGTCTGCAGTAGGTGGAAGAGTGAGCCTGCTGTGTGTAACTTGTGGATATCAGACTGTTCTTCAGTGATTTTCCAAGCTGTTCCCAAGCTGGTCCTCCAGCATCACTTCCCTTTTCCTCTTCCAGCAGGTGTTGGCAGACCGTGGCCAATGGCAAACAGGGACAGCCAGAGCTGCTGGAGAGGGGTGGGCAGGGGTGGCAGAGGGGAACCAGAGTTGGGGAAGGGGGAAATAAAACCAAGGTAGAGGGACTGTACAATTGCATTGAAAGCAGTTTAGCAAAAAGCGCTCTCGTTGGACAGCTTTAAGAACAATGTGAATGAAAACTTAGCAACTTGGGTAGGAATCTTGGAAAATTCTATAAATGTATACTTGAAATTCTGTTTGTATTAAAAAAAATAAATTGCATTTTCTTCTTTCTTTTAACACTGTGTAAAAGAACATTATGCATGTGAGTGGTTTGAGAATTAAATGGTTTAATACTCAGATCCTTGTCTGTGTCGTGGAGCTGACTGGTGTGACCCAGTGTGGGTTTTCTCAGCCATGGTGGGAGATCCTGGTCCCTGCTGTGGGCAGCACTGCACTGCCCAGTTTGGGAAAGGTTGGGCAGTGCCAGGCTGCTGTTCCTGGCACTTGAGATGGCTTCTGTCCTGTCTGGGATGACCTTTGTCTCACCACTCAGCAGGCTCAGCCCATTCTGGTCTCACCAGGTAGAACAGGCACAATGCCCTTGCTGCAGGCCAGTCTCTGGATGTTTTCCCAGCTGCCAAAGGCAGGGGAAACACTGTGGTTCAGTGCCATGCTAGAGATCCCCAAGCACTGCCTCAGCCCTCCTCCTTCACCAGCCTCCACCTCCACAGCCTGGAGCACAACTGAAGAAGGCAGAGGTTGCAGGGTTGTGTTCTCTCAACGAGGTGAGCAGGCAAAAGATGGGATCTAGCAAGAAAAACCACAGTGGTGACTGCCCAAGGAGGGCAGGGAGGGGAAGAGCTGCTTTCTGAGCCCTTAGTTATTTCCAAAATGCTCCCCCTTTTCTCCCAGGGCCCCAGACATCTGTGACACTCTCAGCTTCTTCCCAAGGTGTTACTCTAGGCAGGCAGGAGAGCCCAGAAAGGACGGTGCCTTGCAGGGGTGCAGGGGTTGCTATAGCTGGAGGAGGTGGCTCTCTGTGTCCAAACGCATGTGCCACTCACAACACAAACACAGATGCTCAAACTTTCCTCCTGGGAGCAGGAGAGTGAGTCCTGCAAACCCCTATGGCTTCCAAAACCAGAGACACAGTCACCAAACCCCTGTCGTGGCAGCTCTGAGTTAACTGCAGCACGGTTTGGCTGCTGTGGCCATTGCTACTTAGAGAAGCCTTTACAGAGGTGGGTGTTTCACTGCTCCTACCAAATCCAGACTAAAGGGCCCACTGGGGAGGGACACCCACTGGTGTTTTCGCAGCTGTCTGCAAAATCCACTTCTGTCACCTGTGCTGTCACTGCCCTTTTGGTTTGAAACAGCTGCCTGAAATGCAGAAATCCTAGAGAGGGAAGCTCACCACCACCTCCATCTGGAGGACAACCTTGTCAGAGGCTGTACAGCAGTAAAGTCACCTTGAGAGCACCAGAGGCCACACGTGTGGCCCAGCAGCAGGCCAGCACACCTCAGCTCCTGGAGTAAACTTGCAGGTGAAATAACGGATTTTTAACAAAGCTACAGGTACTGGTTACCTCAGCTGGGCATGGCCACAGTTCATGGACACCCCTGCTACAGGAACTGTTCGCTAGTTTAAGTCTTAATGTTAAAAAGGAGCCTTGGCTATGCAAGACTGTCACTGGTGGCTCTCACCTCTGGGGCATGTTGGACACACCACAGCTGCTGGCAAGCAGGGCACAGCTGTTTGGCAGCTCTTCCACACGTGCTGTGGAAGGATGTTTCTGGCCCAGCCAGCATAAACCCTGTGGTTGCTACTGTTCCACTGACCTGTCCAGTGTGGGGTCATTCTGCTGGGACTGGGGAACACAGGGAAGGGCCCGTTTGTTGGAAAGTTTAAATGAGTCTAGGAAGTGGCTTGGTGCAAACTGTGCATTCAGAGATCAGCCTGCTACATACAGATCTATAGGGTTTAATGAACCAGGGGATCAGAGTTACAGCTTGAGGCCCGAAAGGGAGGAGGGTTGGACATGGGAAGGACAGCAGTGCTGGACTCGGGTTTGGGTGCTGCAAAACTACTGGTGCTGGAAGAAATTCAGCTTCCCTTTGCATGGAGGACGTAGCAGGGCCCTGTGAGCCTTCTCACCCAGGGAGGAGCAGGGACAGTCCAGCTGGATGCAGTCCCTCCCTGCAGCTGGCACCAAACAGCAAGACCAACCACGCCAGGAGCAGCCTGGGCTTTGTGGCAATACCCCACTGCCCCTCTTCCCAAGGCAGAGGAGGGAGAGGCGAGGCCCTGCCAGCCCCTTTAGGAGCAAGGATCAGCTATCCTGCCCATGAAGATGATGGTGTTGAGGGCAGCTTCCCGGATGAAAAGCAGGAAGGGCCTGTTGGCATTGAAGATTTTTCTGTTCATGGGGAAGGAACGGCCGGAGATGGTGACAGCTGTGGCAGCTGACGCCTCGCTCCCTTCTTCATTCACCTGCCAGCCAAGGGAGAAGATGGGATTAAAACACAGGCATCATGCAGCAGGGACAGGGCTTGCCCTCCTTCTCCTTCCAGAACCCCAGACTGCTGAGGAAACGAACACCAGGGGTTCAGAGCTATTTTTTTTCTTTTAATGCTACATGTTTTTAAAAAACAAGGGGAAGACACCCTGGGACAGAACAAGGCTCACCTCGAGGAAGGCTTTGTGGAAAGCCTCAGACACATACAGGTCTGTGCGGCCCTCTGCGATGATACCTGCAACAGAGTGGAGAAAGGTTAAACTGAGTTTAGGCACAGCTCAAGAGAGAACACACTCCCATTCATCAGGGCCTGGGATCAGGCAGAAAGCATGGCTGCCCTAAAATGAAAATGTTCTCCCCCACATGCAACGGATTGCTAAATTGCCATGTCCTCAGTGCAGAGCTGGGCTGCCTATCCACGTTGGGACTTGACCAGAGTCCATCACTGACTGTGGCAACATCTAAACGCTTTCATGTTCTTGTTCCTCATGTGCTGCTGCACCTAATGCCCTGGCACCTGTGGAGAAATGGCTGCCCCCCCAACTCCACATCTCACCTGGGAGTCTGGCATTTTCCGGACTGAAGAGATCTTCCAGTCCCATTTTCCTCAGCTTCTCTTTGACGCTGAAGCTGTCCTCGACACGGAACCGAGGGAGATAAACAAAGAGAGACACCTCCTTCATGGAGTCTATCCAGCCCTGCAGCTTCTCCGATGTCAGGACTCGCTCCACGTCCTCCAGCGGTGTCCCAGCACTGGGCAGGACCAGCACCATCGTGATATCATCCCCTTTGTACGGCAGCTCCAGCACCTGGACTTTGTCCTGGGGGATGAATGTGTAGTGGAATTTGGACTCCTGGTACATAGTTGGGACTTTGCAGGTCTCGCCATTGGCTTTATTAAATACATCCAGTTTTGTGTTTGGAGCTGGGAACTGCGATTTCCAGTGCCCCTAAAAGGGAGAGGGGGAGGACAAACATGAGTACCATGTCTCCCCCAAGGACGTGGGCTCCTCCCCCAGTTTTGTCAGCCATACCTTAAAGTAAATGGTGTTGACCAGGACCAAGACAGTGAGATCATCAATACCTCTTTCTGGGATCACTTCTGTAATGCGTCTCTCTGTCTTATTAGCCACCCACTCATTAATGATCTCCCTGGAAAGTTCTGGCTTCTCCTGAAGGAAGAGACCAAAAAAAGGTTAAGCCAAGGGTTTTAAACACCTCTTTGTGCCCCTTCTGCAGGAGATAGGTTCCCAGGGTGTGTGCTGGGGGAGGACACTGCTCCCAGAGCAGCGCTGCAGGGTTCAGCAACGAGGAGAGGGGACATGGCTGTGGTTAAGGGTGAGCTGGAACAAGAGCAACTGCATCCAAGGCTCCCTCCTGCCTTCACTCATATCCCACACAGCCAGAGCAGGGCACTTCCTCTGGGCAAAAGACAGGGATGCATCCTTCAGCAAAAGCAGAAGGATGGCAGGGGGGGAGAAACCAAACAAAAAGCAAAGTCGCAAGTAGATCAAACCCACTTTGAAGTTCAAAGGCCAGAGTTTGGCTCCATAAACGATTTCACTGATGTTCTGATAAGTCTCGTTGAAGACCAAGGATTTCTCCCCAAAGAGGCGG